ACTTTTATTCTGTTTATTACAGGTAACATACATATATTTATCTATACCACCTGAATGATTAATAAACAAATTCCAAATCGAATCAAACATGGAGCAATCGAACGTGCTGAGTGTTGTGGAAATATTTTTTTTTCTTTTAACATTTTTACCTCAGTATTTATAAGAAGTATTCAAAAAATTCGGGTTTGCGCGACCATCAAGCCGATATAAAAGTTTTACTGAAGCTTTGTTTCACGTTCAGCTAAGCTTGACCTTTCATCATCGACTCAGACTAGTATGCTGAATCTAAATCAAGCTAAAAGAAGACGTTCACCGTCACACAACTCGAATGAGGTCTCCAAAAAAAAACGAGAAAAAAACCCGAAAACTTTGGATAACAGTATCAATCTTCTCGATAATTTTGTCGCATCAAGCATAGAGTTATGAGCAGATGATGAAAGTCTGACCTTAGTTGAACTTAAAATAATGCTTTCATAAAACTTTCATGTCGGCCTGTTAGACGTGCAAAACCGAATGTTTTGAATACTTCTTATAGATGCTGAGGTAAAAATGTTGAAAGAAAATAAAATATTGCCACATTACTCAGCACATTCGATTACCCATGTTTGATTCTATTTGGAATTATCTATCGATCATTCAGGTGATACAAATAATATCTATATTTTACCTGTAACAAACAGAATAAAAGTGGAATCATTTGAAAAGTTGTTGCAAATCGCAAAGAATCATCGATAATTACATACATATATGATGAAAACAAAAATCTAATGGTGGATCTTTTTCAAATGCCATTGTTTAAGAAAAGTTCGACCAATTACTATTCACTTTAATATTTATATATCAATTAAAACAGATCATTTAATAGAGTTATTTATTTTGTTTTGAGTGTCGAAATCAGCGCTTTAACGACTTTCCATGTAAAGTGATTCAAATTACAACCGAGGTCATTGACTTGTTTGAATGAATAATAAATGTTTCAAAAAGTTCAAATTAGTTAGACAAAAACGTCATGACAGATATTTTATCAGTGAAGTTAAGCGAACTCTACACATCACATTTATTTGAAAACAAAACAGAATGTCGATTTCTAGCGAACTCTAGAAATTACTTTATTGAAAATTAATTTGAATTTATCATGTGTCTCAAAATAAATATAAATACAATGGTTTATTTTATTTCAATTTACGAATTTTGAATTTTATTTTGAATATTAATTTCATAAATTTAAATAAATCGAAAAACCAAAATTTGATGAGTGACTGAGATAATTACAAGTTTTGCAAAATTCAATCTTAACTATGTCAACTTTTTTCAAAACAATTTTTTGTAAAAATGATATTTAAATTTCGTAATTTTCTAACTAATTAATTTATTTAAATTCCAAACATGATTAAAACTGATTCAAATAGTTTTAAATCTTAAATTATATTCATGTTCGCAAATGAGAAGATACACTTTCGTGCCATACATGATTCGACTTGATTGAGGGAGGAAAAGTGCATTCGGTCGATTTATGGTCTTATGCGTCCCCCGTCCTTTCCCAGTACAGGGGAAGACAATATTAGTTACTCATGCACTAGTGTATTACGAAGGATTAGAACAGGAGGATGAGAAAAATCCTTTTTTCTTTATCTTTCCTTTCTACCACGTGAAACGATTCTGCAGATCATATGAGTAATGTTGGTATTTTTTCCTTCCTTTTTTCTAACGACGTTGGAAAAAACCAACTGCCTAATCTGAAAGGAGTATAAAAAGAAAACGAAAGCATTCTTTCTTCAGTTTATTTCTCACAACAACAAAAAAAACTATCATGGTAGATAACAAAAATTCGTCTGTGAATAAAATGCAACAAGAAGTGAACAAAAGTCAAGCACCAAGAACTATACGTCGTGTAGATCAAGCCAGTTTGAATATTGGTGATAACCATGCTCATGTTCATTTCACAGATGGAAATGCATTGAAGGACAATGGAACATGGAAACATGGCGAAAGAAAATTATCTAGGGAAGAAAAAGAATGGCTCAAGAAGCATGGCTGGGTACTACCATAGGAAGAGAAAACAGAACGAACCAGACCCGTCTTTGAAGATCGTAAATCTACTTTAGATTTCCCCAGCTCATTTTTTCATTTTTTGACAGTTACTAAAGGCATGCCTAACATATTTCTTTATTTTTTTCATATTATTATTCAAGCTTTACACCTTTTATTTGTGTCGATTATTTTTTAACCTGAAATAACAACACAAACCTTATTTGTTCTCGAGCATTCATTAAAGTATAAAAGATGTTAGAAATCTAGAGAAGTTATAAGGACGTTTTTTTGCAGCGAGAGGTATGACATGCATAAGTCTAAGAAAGTGATAGCTCGACCCGATAGCGGTTGGACGGAACGAGAAAAGTGAAAAAACAGCCCGAGATTATACGTGGTGAACCCAAGTTACGACAGAACAGAATAAGAATCTCCTGTGCTAAATGATAACCAGCATTTGGAATGGAGCTCTGTTATCCTTGCGACTCATTCTCAAAAGAGATAAAATTTATGTTACTTCTATAGAGATTAGCGAAACAGTCTTTATCACTATTTGCCTGCGTAGCTATTTAAACCTTTCATAGCTATTTAATCTTGTAGCTTTATTCCGATGAATAGTTACTTAAATCTCCAGCACTATTTAATCTTTTCAAGCACTATTTAAAAATCTGTACAGCTATTTAATCTTCTGCTGGCTAATTAATCTTTTCTTCTTCTCATTTTAAATAGCTACAGCTATTTAAACTCCGTCAGCACTATTTAAAAACGTTCACAGCTATTTACTCTTCTGCTAGGTATTTAATGTTTTCTGCGGAATCTTCTCTCTCATTATTGGAAAATTTTCAGGGCTATCTTAGGTTTTCTGTTGTCCTTCAAATAACTACAGCCAATCCAACATATGGTGCACTGTTTAATGAATTGTCGTCGCTATTTAAATCTTTGCTAGTTGTTCAATCTGTTCACTTTATTCTTATGATTGTAGAGTCATTTTGAAGAACTAACGAATAATTATATCTTATTGTAGGATTTGGAAGGTTGTTTTTAAATAGCACTGATTTTTCTCGAGCAGAGCGTGGGTGTTTTGGCTGGTATCTAAACCGTCTTCGTGAGTTGATTCGCTTTGCGGAGTGTGGTGTGTCGTTTGTAGGCCGTTCTCTGGTGCTAATTCGTTTTTAAATTGGTCGCGTGATGAATAACTGTACTTTGTGGAATCTGTTCTGTAGAAGGAACCGAGATTTTTGTTATCCTTACTCCTGTAGAAGTGGTTTATTGATGGAGGTTAGATTAAACTTTTCAATTGCATCAATGTTTCAATGTATCAACATTGTGTTTGTATGCATACACTGCCTTGTGTTACATTTTCACTTCATTTTCATTGAGAGGTATGCTGGTATGCATTGAGTGATTGTATGAGAGTTTTTCTGGAAAAGGGAAGGAGTCTATTGAATATCGTAGTTAACCATTAATCTAATTCTTGATGGTAGTTGGTCTTCAGAGATCTTTGTTATTGATTATGCTTTGATAGAATATTCAATTAATCAACATGTACTCTTTATAACAGAGTTACATTGATTCAAACGCAAACGAAATTTGGCAATTGACTACGTTGAAGCGTTTAGATACATAGAATAAGATTTCTTTAAAATTCGAGTTTTATGACGTCTTATTAGGTGAAATTTGTTATGATTAACCACGTAAAAAAGGAAAAAGCGTAAGGATAAAAATGAAAAGTTCGACAATTATCAAAATCATTAACTGTAGTAGATATCTGCGTTATTCAAATAGCTATGTTAAAAACTAAGATTTTAAATAGCTCGTTGATTGGAAAAAGTAGGAAGTTTATATAACTTTTTGAAACTGGTCAATATCTATTTAAAGAAAACAGACAGCTACGAAATGATTTGAATAGCACAAAGGACACCGCTGGATAAGATCGTAAATCTGCCACCCCTCCAGATCTCATTTTCGCTCGGATAGAAAGATAGAGCATGAAATTCTGCACATTTCTGTATATTTAGTTTTTCTTTTACATCCAGTAAAAAACATTTTTGCGGACCAAACAGTCTTAGGGGGTCTATCACTTTTGGACATTTCGAATAATAACTATGGTACTTGTAATTTTTTCTATTGTACACCTAATATAAAAACTAATAGCGTAGATCGACGCAGTTTTTCATGCTCTACAAAATGACATATTGATCATAGTTACCGTTAACTTCTTTTGGGATCATACAGATACGATAGATACGATTCTCATATTACATAGGCGAATTTTCATAATTTTGTAGGGTGCTGTTATATTTAAAAAGCCATAAGCAACTAAAAATCTTAGTAATCAAAAACTGCGCCGTCTCCTGCTCTGTCAATCTATATCGTTTTCAGAAAAATCCATTCTGTCCAAAGGCTCATTCTCATCGAAACATTGTAAGAAGGTAACTGTAACGGAAATTTTGATGGTGGAAAATATTTCTAATCGATGAATATAAGTTGTGAGAGGAGAACTGGTGTAAAACGTTCGGACAGCACCGAAACGTAATGATTTATTGAATAATAATGAGTAAAAAATAACAATAAATGATTTGAGTTGACACAGCAAAATACACACTATATTCTGCTCGTATACATACAGCTTCTTCACTAAGCCTAGGTTTTAGACTCTATTCCGTTTTCGAGTCTCAATAACAATTCAGAATGACTTCTAAGAACATGCGTTTCGATAATCTCGAATGCGTCTTACTCTAACTGGATACAACTATCAACTGTTTATATCAGAATATCTCAGAGAGAGAGAAACAAAAAAAGAAAGAGAGAGGGAGAGGAAGAGGAAGAGGAAGAGAGATCAAGAGAGAAATATGGAAAGTTATCCAAGGAGAGAGAAAATATACCGAGAGGAAAAGAAACAAGAAGTAGGGGAGAAAAAGATCACGTATTATTGAAATGAACAAAAGAGGGTCGCTCAAAAGGATATCCGTCTATTCTCTTGGCACACAATCATTATTAATTTCAGCTTTCGTCTGTTCATACCATAATTGTTGTTCATCATTGAAATATGTAGTTGCTTGGAACACACGATGTGATGTTGGATATTTCAAATCTTCATATACATTATGTAAAGCAGATAACCATTGATCTATATGTGTCATTTCTTCTTCAGTCAATTTTTTAATAGATTGTAAAACTATTTTTTCTTGCTCTTTGAATGACTGTAATTTTAACTTGGTGTCCGATGGAGATATGGAATCAGAATTTTTTTTTTCTTCCAGTAATTCTAACGTTGATTGAGATGTTAACATAGCTGCTGATAAATTTTGTTGAAGTAATGAATGAATTCCTGATGGTTGACAAACGGAATAAGAACTACTACGTTTTCGAGAAGGAGAGTAATATAATAAATCAGAAATATCACGTTGTTGTAAATTTAAATGTGAACGAGTACGATTGTACATCAAATGTACCAATAAACATCTTTAGTAACTAAAAAAATGATAAATAATCTGTTACACATTCTATAGAAAATGGTAGTGCCTTCAGTTCACTATATAATTATTGACAGAGACAATCCTTAAAGAGGGATGTTTCTAAAATTATCCAACGTGAATGTCGATCACAAAAGCAGTTCCTATATAAGAAAGGTTTCTTTGTTTAATAAAATATCGTTGTTGCTTTAAAACGAATGTTGTTGTTCAAAACACCGCTGTCACCACTTGTTATGCTGTAGTTTGACCTGAGAGTTCGTTTTGATGTAAAGCATAACCTATCTTTATTTAAAATAATCTGAACTGAACTGACTAGGCTACATATCACACAACAAAACATATATCATCAGGTAGAACAAAAGAAGAAAGAAAATACGACAGAAATATAGAAGACATGGACATAATAACAATATAGATGTCGGACATAACAACTATGATATGAAAATCAAAATGAAATAGAGCTATGGACAAAAAAAACTGGGTAATTCCGTGGGGTTCCTACCACGGAATACAGAAGCATCTCCG